TCCCAAGTAGTCGCAAGAAACCGCAAGTTGAACTAACGTAGAGACTTGGGGTGCCCAAACGGGCTCACAAATTTCCTCATGAACACACCCAAGTCACAAAAATCCCACTTCAGGGCTACCGGCTTAGTCCCGCGAGGCCAAACTCCAGGGCCGGATTGTTCAAAGTCCGATTAAGCCAACCCAGGGTCAGCGGCAATTTTGATTTGAGTTTTGTAACTTTGCGGTGAGGTTTTCTGCTTATATTGTTTCCCCTTCAGTTTTGAGTTTTCACAAACTACACAATACATAAGCTATGAAAAACATTTTTATGCAAGAAAAATTAATACTTTCGTTATCTTTAATCCTGCGTTAGCATCAACCTACTACCGAGCAATTACCCGGCTTTGTCTTTCATTGGCTAATAATAGGTTGATGGACGTCACTCAACTTGCGTTGAATTGGGTTGGGTGGCCAAACGGTGAAAAACTTGCGTCGACTTGCGTGCAAATTTGATCGCAAGTCAACGCAAGTGCACGCAAGGCGTGGCCAAACGGAGTCTCAAGTCGACCAAGTTTTCAACTTGCGTCTACTAGCGTTCCAGCTAATTAAACGTTTGAAACATCACATTTAGAATATGAATAGCTTTCGCCATGACAATAATCAACAATGCACACGTTGAAAAGTTACTTAACTGCACATTAACCAGGTAAANAAGAAACCGCAAGTTGAACTAACGTAGAGACTTGGGGTGCCCAAACGGGCTCACAAGTTTCCTCATGAACACACCCAAGTCGCAAAAATCCCATTTCAGGGCTACGGGCTTAGTCCCGCGAGGCCAAACTCCAGGGCCGGATTGTTCAAAGCCCGATTAAGCCAACCCAGGGTCAGCGACAATTTTGATTTGAGTTTTGTAACTTTGCGGTGAGGTTTTCTGCTTACATTGTTTGCCCCTCAGTTTTGAGTTTTAACAAACTACACAATACAAAAGCTATGAAAAACATTTTTATACAAGAAAAATTAATACTTTTGTTATCTTTAATCCCGCGTTAGCATTAACCGACTACAGAGCAATTACCCGGCCCTGTCTTTCATTGGCTAATAAATAGGTTGATGGACGTCACTCAACTTGCGTTGAATTGGGTTGGGTGGCCAAACGTTGAAAAACTTGCGTCGACTTGCGTGCAAATTTGATCGCAAGTCAACGCAAGTGCACCCAAGGCGTGGCCAAACGGAGTCTCAAGTCGACCCAAGTTTTCGACTTGCGTCTACTAGCGTTCCAGCCAATTAAACGTTTGAAACATCACATTTAGCAACTTCAAATTAATGAATAGCTGAGTGTTTCAGTTTCCCGCCAACCCATCCTAAGCGTTTCTTTAATCAATAATTATAAGAAACTAACAACCATGTTCATGCTAAGTAGCGCCACCTCCTCCTATTTAATGTTCACAAAAGGTAATTTAAATACTTCTTTCTCCTCACTTTCTTAGCTAATATCATCACAAAGACGATTTAAGAATAAGCAAGTTACCTCGTGCATTCTCAAGGTGACCGGCACATTTTTTGACCTGCAAGCTTCAACAAAATTTTCCGGAAGCAGTTGATTTGGATAAAACTCATCATCCAATCCCTGATATAGAACAGAAAAAACAAGAATTAAATCTCATGGGGGACATTTGAACATTTTTCCAAGGACATCATCAGTAATCCTTTATTTTCTCGCAGAACCATATACTTTGATTCAGCAACAGATAATCTGCCATTCATTATGATGAGGTACATGGTAAAGGTTAAATCTGCATACAAGCCAAGTGGCCCATTAAGCTGGAGCTAATCCTGGTTTCTGTAATAAGTGTCTAGAGTGAATAAAGCACTGTTGTTGCTGTTGTTGTAGCGTGAAGCAACTAGGAGTACTTCTACTCCCCCCTGGATGGGATGCTAGTCCATCAAAAGGTTACCCCCAGCATTAAGGTCGCCGGTACCCACAGAGGCACTGTGAGAGTAGTGTCTTGCTGAAGAACACAACACAATGCCCCCGGCCAGGGCTCGAAACTGGACCGCTCAATCCAGAGATGAGCGCACTAACCGTGAGGCCACCATGCCTCCCACTGATGAATTACATGACAAGCCCAAATTATTATATTGTGTCATTTCCAGAAAATATTGGCCCATATCCCTTGCATAGCGAGGGAGAGGGGGTTGGTTCAAACCCCACACCCCACCCCAATCCCCCCAGAAATTTCAGTTTTCACCCCCCTCAGCCTTGGCATTTCCAATGATCCTCCTTGAGGTAGTTATGGATTTTTTATGGATGCGTGCATATTTCATACCTGATCAATGAGTATGTCTGGAGGTGGTCCCGGGTATTTTTTCACCAGTTCAGTAGCATCATAATCCTGATGACAGAAATAATACTATGATTCAGGAATTATTTTTATGATTGAGTGACCATAACTATTATAACCTCACCATTGTTGCTATACAATCATTGTCTTTTTAATTAATAATTAAGTCTCAAGAATTTAGTAGTATATCAAGACTAGAAGATCCCCTAGTTGTGATTGGGCTTATTGATCTCTGGCAAACCATGGATTGATCCATTATGAGAACTTGCAGTTAACTAAAAATAAAACAATTAATGTACAGTATTGGATTTCATCCAATAGCAGTATGATATATCGTTTATCATTTCTGGGCCTATCACATGTTTACATGAGGTCAGTTGCTTTGTATCAAATCACAACATGTTCTTAACGCATCCATTTTTAATACCCCCCACCCACGAGCCACATCAGGGGGGTGCCTTATCGTGGTTCCTTGCCACCTGACCCTGCTTCAGCTTCGCTTTATCCATCAAATAATTAAAGTCAATGTTTTAGTGTATACTTGTCATTGATGCATGTCTTCAAGGTATGTCACGAAGGATTATAACATTTTAATTCCTATTAATGGCATCCCAGACAGTCTAATCCAAGGTTTTCCAACATTGTTGGGCCTTTTACAAAATGTTGTGGCCCAACAAATAGAACATGTTGCAATGTTGTTTTTTTTTTCTACTGTTCAATACAGGTCTTCCAATGTTGGCACTTTGAGAAAAGCATGAAAAAGAGTTCCAACCTTTAAAGCAAATATGAATGTAGAGAGATGGCAAGTTGGCAGTGAAATGAGAAGGATGTTACAGAAGTGTTCATCAAGTCACACACAAGGGACACAGAAAAATGTCTCCAGTGAGATTTAAAGGGACACTCTCACCATTTTTAGCATGATTTTGGAACTCTCATTGAAAACTGAACAATAATGGTTTTATTTCGTAGAGCAGTACCCAACAAATGATTAGAACCCATTAGGAAGTGAGGATGGCTAACTATGGTGAGGATGGAAATGGATTACGATATGGATAATTTTTTTAAAAAAGCATCAGGATGCCAGTTTTTCAAAGGTTCAACTTTGGCTCGAAAATCATCAAAATTTTGCAAGAATGTTGCTGCTGTGTGGACTTTCTTCAAGAAATTGCTTTTGATCATTTACTTAGAGCTAATTAAGTTCTTATTACTTAAATTTAGGGACTATTTTGTGAATTCATAACAGTTTTAAACAATATATCATGACAGTGTCCCTTTAATCTCCTTGGTCCAACCTGAATTCACCAAGAATGGATGTTGGATGAAGTTAGATGAAGTTAGATCAAAACATCAAGACCACTAAACCAAGGTTTTACGATCAATGTGAACTTTCTTAATTGGTAAATCACTTGCAAAAGAAAAGAAAATTGGCCTACCTTCCATGCTTCCTTGTTACTACCCAGGTATCCAGTAAATGCCTTCTGTCCCCATGGACAATTCACTGGGTTACAAATAGGTGCAAAGGCTGAGACCGACTGTTAGGAGTAATCAAATTTATCGAAGGTTACCCTCAAGCATTCTGAGGGCTTGAGACTAACAGTAAACAAATAACCTCAAACTACTGTAGTCAGAAATTTTCTTTGCCTAGCTAGTAGGTTTAGGGTTTTCACTCAACATTTTGGCTGGTGAAAATTTCAGGCATATTAGTAGAGGGAAAACACAAATGAAAATCAAGTCTGAGATTCTAAAGCCATGAATCTTTCAGGTTGCCCCAGTACTTTTTAGTGCCCATTTATACAACTGGAAATCCAAAGCTATTGTTCTACAAGAGAGCACACTGTTCTCACAGCAAAATATCCTGCCCTTGGATCAGAACAATGTCCAAGTCTTGAACTTTAGACCCATGATAAGTTCCAGAGTTCAACAAAAAAACTCATTGTTTGGTAAATATGAATTAACCATTTTATCTATATGCGACATACAAATTTACCTACCTTGTAAAATCCTGGGTTTTTAAGGAAACAAATTAGAGCTCCATGTCCACCCATGCTGGGAAAATTAAGGGGAAAAAACAATAAGGGAACAATGTTTAACTTAACACAGCTAAACATGAACAGCACATGATGATATACACACAGCAACACAGACAAGATCAAAGAGAAGGTATTGATCAGATGTTCACCTGTGGCCAAAAACTGACTGCTTGTCTGGCAGAACTGGAAAGTTACTCTGAATCAAAGCTGGGAGCTGCAGAGTATAAGATGAGAACAACTCTGAGCATGAAAAAAGAATACTCAAAACCTACTCCCAAAGCCCTTCAATTTAACACTTGAAGTTAGAAGAACATATTTATGGTCATCGTCATCATCATTGTCATCATCATCATTATCATTATTCGGGGATGGTGCCATCCACTGCAAACCTCTTCCAACCATCTTCCATTGGTAGATCTAACTTAATGCGAGATTCCCAGATTAATCCCATTTTCAATGAGGTATATTAAGAACTTCAAGGCATGACTCCTCAATCCAAGAAAAGCCCTTCCATGGAAAAAGATGTCCTGGCTAAACACAGAAAAATCTGTTCTAGCTTTTGGCTTTAAACAAATTGTGCACACTCTACTGAATTCAAGATTTTTTTGTACATGTTTGTTAAGGAAAACCATTAATTATACACCATCTGGGACTTGAAACTAAAACACGCCTATAAATGACTGTAGCTTGTACAGGAAGATATTTTACAAACCTCTTTTGTGACGTAGGAAAACATTCTGTAATTTGTCTTCCACTTCTCCTCTGTTGCATCAAGGTAAAACCCTGCACCAGTTCCAAAGTCATAGCTGTCATCTTCACCTTCGATACCACATGATCCTGCAGTAATAACAGATAAGTTATGCTAGGCTAAAAATGAACTTGTCAGAATTATACCTTCCACTTGAACACTAATGCTCAAAACTACATTTAATTGATCCCTTTGACACAAAAAACCCTTGCCTAAGACACTCTCCCTGCTATGAAATGATGACCCATTGTAAGAGTCTGGTTAGTTGCAGAGCAGAGAAAAAATAGAGGAAGAGTATGGTAAGGGAAAGTGAGTGAAAGTGCATGGCTGCCTGTGAACATTTCCACCCACTAAAAGACCAGCTACAAAGGGCCCATAACATGACCACTTTGATATTTTTCAGTTGTCAGATATCAATCAAAGCAGAGTAAAATGGGATTGATGCCAGAACTTGCGCAGAACACAACACCTGCAGTTAATGACATTTGTTCCATTGCTGAGCCCTTTCTTTTGGTATCACTGTTCCAAACTATTTTGCTATGCTCTATGCCATGTAATAGCAGCAGTAAAGAATGGAGCCGTTTGCTGTTGGTCTAGCAAATGTTCAAATATATTAGGGGAATACATTGTAGGTCTGCATGGTTTCCAAATGTACTGTGAGCTTCCATCTTTCAGAGTTTGACACCTCTGTAATTTCTAGTGTAATTTGTTTTGTCCCCTTCATATGGAAAACAACCTGTGGGAAATCTTTGAGCCTACTGCTAATGTTTAAAACGGATTTAAATACTGTGCGACTGTGACTCCATTAAAGGTGTCTGACGTATCTCATCTACCTCATCATCATTCTCATATCTCATCAACATCAATAGTGCTCAAGTGTTGGCAAAACTGTCAAAACTGTCGAACTGACCAATCAGAGGGCATGTTAGAATCTAGTATATACTGATTCAGAAATAGCTTTAAACTTGTTTAAAAAGTTATATGCATATATAGGTGTTCTTTTATTTGCACCCTGAACACCTCCCTTGTTTTTTTTCTCTTCCCATGTCTTGTGCTACTCCCAAAAGAATTAAACACCTGGAAAAGGCTGTGAACCAATATCAACATCTACCATTTCTTGTACGAGGGATTTTCATAATATTATTAATGATGATTTCAAATTAATATTAATGCATTGTATGACAAGGAGCTAACACCAAATTAAGTTCGGCACACACGAGGGGACTGGGCCCTGCGACTAGTCCCTGCAACTAGTCCCCTGAAGAGTTTACACGAAGGGACTGGTCACAGGGACTTGTTCCACCTACAGTTCACACAAAGCATTTTGAGGAACAAGTCGCAGGGACTTGTCCCAAGAAATTCATGGGACTAGTCGCAGGTACCAAAGTTGGTCCCTGTGACTAGATTTTGAAGCAAAAATGGCCAGTTCACATGATGGGACTTGTTCCCGCCGTTTGTTGCAGGGACAGGGACTAATCGCAAGGACTAGTCTCCTCATGTGTACTGACCTTTATGGCTATATATGCATAAATGTGATTAATCTTTTATCAGAATTTAAGAAACTTACGAGGACTTGTGTCAGGAGCCACAATCAGAACACCGTGTTCAGATGCGGTACGTTGCGCCCCAGCCTTTGAGATGAAGTTTTGTTCAGTGCATGTTAGGCCTGAAATCAAGCAAAATCAAATGTAAAGTATATTCTGACGTTTCCTATGGAAGATTCAAAAAACATTTCACCAGAAGTCAAATTACCTGACAGCCAATACAAAACAGGAACTTTCTCTTTTTCGGCCTGAGGAGGAACATAGACTGCAAAGTTCATGTCACACTTCAGTTCTGAACTGAGAAAAAGAAGAAACAAATCTGTCAACCATTAAAAGATTAGATGAGATAAACAGCTAGTGAGGAATGAAGCCAAATAGAATGAAACAAAGAGTAAGCAGCCTCATCTAACTGTTTTAGTTAAAACCCACTAATCATTGTAACAAGTAAAATCTACTTTCTATTTCAGAAACTTCACAAAAATGAAAAGTTGAAACCATTTTCAAAGATTGACCAGCTCTCAATACCATCTATAAAATGAATCATCATCAGAATTGTAATACTGCAAATGCTGCAATCTTACAATCTGATTGGCTGAGCAATTACACACTATCACTCATAAGTGCACAGTGCGGTGGTCATTCGTACTCCTAAGGAAAACCAAACACATTGGCAAGGTGCCACGTGATGTTGGTTGGTAATCTGAACCCTATCCCAGATAAAAAAAAATAACCATCAATTTTATTTCTTCACTACTAGAGCTTATTTAGTTGCAGCTCACCAAGCTTACTTTGAAAATTTGTGTCATGTAATGAGGCTATGTGCTGTCTAGTTTGACTGACAAAAATGGACAAGGCCATAGGCAAGTCCAGTTTGGCAGTCAGGGTAATTTTTTAAATCCAATAATTTTCTATACTGGACTAAGATATGGTCCCTTTACATGTTAATTACATTACACACAGGATTATCCAATTTCCTTGTTAATTCCTTGTTAATTTGAGTGCGTACATTAGAAATATGGAATCCTGAGCTACCAAATTATATACATAAAAATGAAACACCCTGGGCAGAAGCAAACCACAATCTTCAACTTTAAAAAGGTATCACAAACACCCCTGTCAGAGCTTTTATACATCTATCACCTGATCTATAGACAAGCCCTCCACCACCTGAAGCACAATTTGTAAGTTTACCTCAGCAAAGAAGCCAATCCGAGTAATAATAAGGAGGTTCCATTAATTGAGATCATTACAAGGACAGAGACTGTACAGTGTTAGTTTTAGGACTCAAAACTCAGACTACCATTCCCTTCCCCCTCCCCCTAAGAGAGCCCGGCCTCTCACCAGCCGGCTTTATACCACAGAGATTGGAAAACAGACACAACTTCGTAATTAATGAAAAAAAAATCGTGATTAGAATTTATGTTTCCGGGCTAAAAAATAGAAATCCAGACCTTTTGTGCTTGAAAACCTTCTGGAATCCGCCAAAGCATTTTGCACTCGAGACCTGTTCCAGCGCCATTTTGGTTCGGTTAGCGAGGGTCCTGATGGATATATGCAAAAATCTTGTCATGAAAGGCGAGCCTGAAGACAAAAAACTATAGTTAAGCGGTACCTTAAATAACGGTTAGGTTCAACAACGATAATTAGATCACTAAAAGGGCAAACGTTGCGAACAAAGACTACCAACTTACCAAGTTGCGAAAGGATAGGACTCATGTAATGGTACCAGGTCTCTAACGGCCAAAATGGGGGTGTCACGGGGGTGTGAGCAAGTTACCTGGTTACCTTCGTCGAAAGTATCCTAATAAATATAGCTGGGAATCCATACGATTTTCTCCCCTGTCGAAGAAAGTTGGTGTTTATCAGTTGGTTTATGATAGTAGATAGACATTCGAGTAGCAGAGCTTAGAAAAACAAAATTCAAAACACTTTTTCGTCAGGAAGCTCGTGGTGCAACCAGTGTTACACGTTTGAGTTTGCTGTTCGTTTTCTTCTAAAACTTACAAATTGTAGATCCGAGACAAAGAAAGCACTATCAGTATATCCTCCTTTGATATATTTTCGCTCTCAGAGGCCTCGCCCCCTTTTGGTCAGTCCGCTGGATCTCAATTAAATTTACTATTTTGTCTCCACTTCACAACGAATGAACACACAGCTTATTGGCAAATACGTTTATTTGGGGAGGGCCTGGCAAGAACCAAACCAAACTAAGTTACAGCAACTGCATGAAAAAGAATATACATAACTCATTCAATAATTGTTCGTCAGACAGGTATAAACGTCTATCGCCGACCACTTGTGCATTTCGTCCTTGTGAATTCTTGTAAAAAGTCCATCTTCAAAGCAGATGTGAATCAGAATATGTATTTGACGGGCATATTACATATACAGGTCCCGTGGGGGTACTCCCTTA